TCTTGGCTATTTCGTCGATCAATTAACTCAACACCCTTATTTTTATAAGATATACGTGAACAACTCCCCATTTCCCACCAAACACTCATCTTCTTCTTCCATCTTTTCTCTTTTCTTCTCTCATCTTAAAGTTGAAGGATTTAGGACTTCAAGTTTAGTTTGGGTCAAGCAAAGGTAAGATTATTAACCCTCACCCTTCAAGCTTCATTTTAAGGTCCATTTCACTAGTTTTATCCATAGAGAAAAAAAGGGTTTTGAGATGTTTGTGAGAATATATGGATTCTAGCTATGCTTTGGATATTAAAGAGTTATTTAGAGTGTATCCAACCTCTAGATGGATTAGTAATCCATTTTCTTACCTTGTTCAGTGAAGGAAGTGAGAGAGTGTTCCAAATCAAAAGGCAAAGAAAAGTTGAGCATTGGTTGAGTTGAGGAGAAATCTAGCCACCAAAATAAGCAAGGTAACACATTTACAACTCTTCTATACTCTTAGTGAGTCATTAGAAGTTCAAAATATTTTAAATGGTTAAGTTGAGCATGATAAGCATTTTTATGGTGAAATTCTTGTTTTAGAGTTATAAATATGTTTAAAGCCTCTATTATGACCCTTGTTGATCAAATAAAACTTTAAGAATGTGAGGCACTTAGAACTAACTAGCTTGGGTGCAAGGCCCGACACTCAAGGAGTGGGCTAGTCGAGGGGGTTGACCGACGCAGAGATTTCGGGCAACCAACCTCGGTAGACTATAAGGGTGTGTGAGCTCCGAGATGCAAAACCCTCAGCCTCACCATGATGTCTACCATAGAGTAGAGAGTGGAATATACGAGTATACTCACTATTTCAGCTTATCAGTTAGCTTGAGCATGTCATGAACACTTTTAGTATGGCTTAGTTGTTAGTGTGGCACTGGGCTAATAGCTCAGTGTTTGGAATTTGTTTCCTTACGCGTGTTAGTCGATGAGTAATCTGATCACTTTTTGACAGCAATGATTCATATCCAAATAGTGAAAAGTACGTCTTGAGTTCATCTTTAGAAGGCATGTATAATTATAAACCCCAATTTGTATATTTTTGTATGAGTCATAACTTATTTTAAACTATGATCTGTATGATTTAAATATTATTTTGGAAGATCCTAACGTAAACTATTTTATTTAAATTATAGTTGATTTACTTTAGCATGAGTGGTCACAAATGGTCATCTTAACAATGAAAAAATTTAAAGAAAAATTTGGTTATCCAATCTGGTTATGGTGTTATAGTAGTAGTGATAACCATTTGGGGTTCAAGTTTTTTTGTGTCTTTTACTCGAGAGAGGAAAGATACTTTGTTAATTTTGAATGATTTATTTTTATGTTGATATTTGGATTTGATCATAAAGTATTTGATGAGATGCTTGACTTATGGTTTTTGTTTTAGCTATACATTTATGAGCTGAGCTTTTTATTGGATGTCTTTAGATATGAATTCATTCTTATATATGTTAATCTTGATTATTTTTAGAGACGAGAATTATTGAGAGTGCATGCTACTTTAGTTCCAGTGTTGATGTTTATGAGAGTAAACTAAATTATATAGAGATGTATGATGTCGAGTGTTACGCTTTGTTAACTGTTTAATCTATGGTATTGATGAGTGCTAATTCCATTAGGTTATGTGTTTAATTCTTGAGAGAGTATTAATGTTTTAATCATTGCATAACTTACAAATATATCGCCACAACATTATCATTCTGTTAACTTCCAAGTATTGACAACATCCTTAGGTCTAGTGGTATGTTTGCTCTTCTGCTTGCTACTGCATTCCCTGCCATCTACCATACTACTTTATTACTTTTGTTGTATTCATGTCACTATATAACTTCAACTTTATCTTTTTCTATTTGAGATTAACAATTATAACTTGTGATACATTGCTCTTTGTGGGTTCGACATCCGAAACTCTTGTAGTTTCCACTTTATTACTTGGTTTACGACAGGTATACTTGTGTTGAATGTTGTATCAACTGCATAGCATCAGATACCACGCTGCGAGTATCGATACCTTACATATAGAATTCACACCCATTATATGGGTATCGATACTTTTAACCTAAAATCCATTTTTTAAACATCTGAATAATAGTATCGGTGTTGTTCTTCCAATATCGATACTCGCGCCCAGAAATATCATGTTTTGCGCATGAAAATGCCTCTCAAACACTCTCATGAGTCCTATTGAGATCTCTAAACATTATTAAAGTGTAATATCTGATAAAATGGGTCATAAATAGTCCATGAACACGCTGAAAAACACTAAATTTTAAATCTACCATGAATATGTTTCATAACTCATGTAACCTATCAAAACACGTCTAGTGTTCCTATAAATGGTAGAGTTGAGTTAGAAGTGAGTTACCTTGATATCCTAAGCTACTGGAAACACCCAAGCTCACCCAAGTGCTAGTTTTTAATTTCCTTTAGCTTTGGAGCTTTCTCCAACTTCTCTCACTAGAAAAAAATCATGTATAAAGATTACTAATGTTTTTGGGAGCTTAGAAAAAGTCAAAAACACTTCCTAGAGATAGAGTTTTTAAAAAACGAGCTGGTTCACTATGGGATTCTAAAACCTATGTTTTGGATACCATGATGAAATGAAGAGATTGAAGGCTCAAAATGATGCTTGGAAAGATAGAATTATGACTCTTACCTTGTTGAATCAAGTTAGTGAGGATGGAGAATAAAGCTAGTTCCTTTAGGGAAGTCACAAAGAAGATGAAGGGAAAAGCTTTGAAGGAGGAAGAAGACAACTTTTGAGAAATGAGGGAGGGAGACATGCTGCACGGTTACATCACCCACACTTAATGATTTTTAGCCTTTAAAATTTTGTATATGTTATTCATTCACCTAGTCCTTCCTTTATTGTCCTAAGATTAAAAATGCCATATTTTTTGCTAATTGGGCTTAAACCAAACTCAAATCAATTCAAGCTTGGGTTGAGACTTCTCATAAGGTGATGGGTTTATCAAAAGCTCATTCGGGTACCCGAAACTCCTTACATAGGGTTTGGCATTATATAAGGAGGCCACTAGGAAAATTGACTAAAAATAGGAGAAATGAAGCCAATAAAGCTATTAATCCTAATAAGTTGAGTAAGAGAGGGTAACATGTAAATTGCACCAAATGTAGTAAGCACTGATACAACTGAAAGACTTGTAGAGGAGAAGTGAGTGAAAATCAGCCTATAAGAAGACCTACAACCACTATTAGATGGATGCCAAATGTGGTAAGCACAAGTCACCAACAAAATCAACCTCCATCATCCAACCAACATTAGCCTCGAATGTAGAAAATACCACCAAGGAGTTATCTTCTTCCTCCACTAACCACAGTTAGATGGATGCCAAATATGACTATCAGTCAACAATAAAATATCTCCAACCTTATACCTAAAACTCAAGAATCAACCAATCTTCCAAATCAAGGATCACAAGCTTCAACTAGGGATTGAAGCTGCACAAGGAGCTGAACTTATTTTGTGAATGACCTTAATATATGAAATCTTTTGTGAACCATCTTTATTTTGTTTGTAATGTCCTTTGCATAGGCATTATCTTTTGTGATTACATCTAGCTAACTTTGGATAGATTTTAGGTCATTATTTTGTAATTGATTTTATCATTTATCAGCTTGAAACATGTTTCTCACTTTAATACAAATCTCCTGTCATTATTTTGTTACAAATTTGTTCATTTATCAACTTACAAATTGTAGATTCTTTAAGTGGATATAATCACAAAATAAGATACATTACACAAAAAATTTCCATTACATCACAAACAACTTAACATCTTGCTTGAATCTTAACTTAAACCCTAAATCAACTAACATTCTCACCATCATCACACTATCACACCATTCAAACAACCCTAGACCTTAACCCATTACTTTATAACCTAGACAATCATCATACACACACAAATAACTAACAATTTCGTTAAAACATTCACGCTCTCTCGTTTTTCTTCACTTTCTTCTAAAGTCCAACAATAATCACTCTTAAACGAGATGGCACATGAGCATCATACCAAGAAAAAAATCAAAAATAAACCTTTATTTTATTCCCATATTTTTTACACTCAAAGAACCTCTTACCTGGGTTCTCATCAGTCCAAGCAGTTACAATTTCAGCTCATTCCCCACAATGACAAATAGGTATTGCATTGCTTTCTTCCCCGATAGTCTTCATCATCGCCATTTCTTCTATTTCTTCTTTTTAAAGATGATTTCAGTAACTGTTAGAGATTTCAAAGGGTTTTAAAACAAGTTTTAGGGATTTTAAGTAAGGGCTAGTTAAATAGAAAACTTTTACAGCCCGTTTGGTTCAAGGATTTTTACATTCCCAGCAGGTATATTTTTTTCCTGACTATTGATACTCATATTTGATTGGGTAAGATTCTCAAATGAGAGTAATATTTAAATACCAACAGTAAATTTTAGTATTTTATTCCTGTGCCTGGCCCGGGTGTTAGTTAGGTATTATTTTATTCATGTGCTAAGATCCTAAAATACCATTTTTTTCGTGAGCTTGTCTCTGTGCGATATCTTCTTCTTCCGTGCACTTGCCCCTGTCAAAAATTCTTCGTAAGATTTATTCTTTACTCCCTTTCATTTATTTTCCCATCAATAAGAGAAACTTTACCTTGGGAAAAGAAGATGGAGTTTGAGTTCAGAAAAATAGGATTAGCTTACTAATTGAAGGAAGGGGAATTGGGTAGGTTTTAAAATCGAGGGTTTTGATTTGGGGTAAAGACAAATAAAACAGGAAAGAGTTTTGTTCTTAAAATCTGCATTTGGTTTGAACTGGTATTGTATGATAAGGGCTATATAAATTTCGGAGTATAACCAAATGGTTACTAATTTTGCCAGTTTCAGGTGATCTCTGAAGATGAGAGGCCCCTCTCTGAGTCCTAAAGGGCCCCTCCACCGCGTTGCTTCTTCCCCCGCGTCGGTCACTTTCTTCTCCCATCTCCTCATCAAAGCTTTTCATTACTTTAATCATCTGAAAATGTCGATTTCTTTTAGTTAGTATTTGCTTGGATTTGCTGTTTGCTGAGTTCTTAAGCGCTGATGTTGTTTGACTAAAAAATGCAGTAAGATCTGTTAAATTGAGCTATTTCTTTTTATCTTTTGACTTGCACCATTGCTTTCGATTACTGTCATAATTTAAAATACTTTAAATCTTATAGTAATTATTGCTTTGGTTTGCTTGTTTACTGCGCTTTTAAGCACAGCTGTTTGTTTGACTAGAAAAAACTGCAGTAAGATCTGTTTGAACTTGGCTGTGATTCGTATTTTTTAGTTGAGTGTTTATTTGATGTGTAGCATAAATATTGTAGATTTATCTTAGCATTTTAGCTGTTGAAAATAAGATCAAATATGAAGTAGATTGACCTAGGGTTAGGCGGCATTGTTTTTAACTTTTAACTACTTAAACTTTCAACTGTTTAATTATTCTTATTTCAATCTTCTCCGCCCTGGCATTGCTGTTGTTTATGTGAATTATTTTTTGTACTCTTTGCAAGAGAATAGAATTTTCAGCAAAATTTATCTTCTAGCCTAATTAAATCAACTATGATCTTTTGACTTCTCATCTGAAGAAAGCTTAGACCCGTATGACTGTTCACATTGTTCAACTGCTTTTTGAATTAACTAAGATGCACAAAGATTTGGATTTTTGAGTTTGTCATGGTGGATTATAGAAATTTTAAAGCTATGGAATGTAAAGCTCTCTGGAATTAGAATTAGAACGATTTTTAAAATTTGGAATATTTTGTGAGATTGGAGAAGCCAGATAGAGCATCATTATTAATATGCTTGTATTATGTAAATATTAGTTCTGCTCAGCTACGAGAACGTTTGGAGTTTGCTTTCATATATTTATTGTTACTTTGGTTCAGCAAATCGGGTTTTGGATACTTCAACTTTATCTGCATACCGACATTAGATTTGTCTTATCATTACACGAGCTACTTTTTCCGGATGCTGATGAGTTCCAAATACAGATATGTATTCAACATGAGTATGTTGAACTATCTTCAAAATTTTCCATATATTTAGAGGATCATAACCTGTACTCAGTTATTATATATATATATATTAGGGGGGAACTGTACACAGTTATAAAGAGTTTGAATAACATAGCAAATCAGACTTTTGGCTTTTTGGTTTTCTAAAACTCCGCCTCTCTCTGATTTGCTTTATGGACATGGACTTTTGTGATTCACACTGCACTCTTACAGTGAAGAAACAAGCAGAAGAGGGTTCCAAAGAAACAAGGTTTTTAGAGATGTTGAGAAGGCTTTTCATGTACCTATTCGGTACAGGAACTGGAATTGCAAGATAACTACTTTGAAAGTCGTGCTGGTCATACTTTTGGTGGGATCTCCCATCACTCTCCTTCGCTCCCCTGCCAGTTTTGAAGGAAATGGAAAAGTAACATTGAAGAACCAAGTATCACCCAACATTTGTGTGGCAAGCAGGCATTGTCAGTTTGGTTTGGTGAAGTCGCCGCAGTCGTTGGCTGTGAGGAAGAAGATGCAATGGAAACTGGTGGTGGGATGCTCGGTGGGAGCTGCTTTGGGGGCTTTCCTTTTGGGGTTGCTTTTAGTGGCGACGTTTGTTAAAGTTAAGAAGAAAGCAAGAATGGAGGAGTTGGCGAGGAGAGAATATGAAGAGGAGGCTCTTCAGGTTTCCATGGTTGGACATATAAGGGCTCGAACATTACATCATCTTTTAAATGGTAGCTATGGATTCTTTTTCTTTTCCTTTTTCATGTATGATCATTCTTTTTGCAAGGTTAGCTCTATATGTCTTCGAAATAGAATCGATTCTTATGTTCACTATCTTGGAACAGAACAACTCTGTTTTTCGATGACATGTTAAGCTTCACTTCATTTCATTATTCTCTTTTCCATAACTTTCGGGCTCAATGTCTAGGAAAATAACAACCCAACTGTTCTTTTGCTTACGATTTTTAACAAAGGGTATTCTTTGTTCTCCATGATTCATAAACACATATTTAATAGTATTAATGAAAATAAAGTGGTTTTGTTGGTTGTCAGCGATTCACCTATTTAAAATGTAAATCTTGTCGATTGAAAAATATAAGAAACCTTCCAGTGAATGCGTCACGTATGAACCGAAGTTAATTTCCACAATGTAAACATATAGTTAAATGTTGATGTAAAATTTTAATATAAATTATGTAAAATTTAATATTAATTAAAATTAAAATAATACATGATATATTTAAATACTCAAGTAATATATTATCAACAGATAGAATTTTTATATAAATAATTTTTATTTAAATATTTAGAATTTCACTTGTAAAAAATATAGAACAATGACAATTTGGTAAAATATACATTTCAGTAATCTTTTATTCCTTCAACCAAACACAGTAATGTAATATTTCTGCCAAACCAACCAAACACAGTAATGTAACATTCCCAGTAATTCTATTCCCTTATAATCTTTTATTCCCACTGGTAATCTTACATTCTGTTAACCAAACGAGCCCTTAGGGTAATTGATCGTTTGGCACCAATTATTCATCTTTTATTTTTAAAAAAAATATTCTACGTAATATCTATGTGGATATTTATGTTTATTTATTTACAGTGTCACGTCATATACGTGTTGACGGTTTTACGATCGTTTATGTGAAGTTACCAAGTCTTAATTAAAATGAAACAAAAATGACCCCATATTAATTTTTGAATCTAGTGACCATAAGTTTATAAAAATAAAATAAAAGTTACCAACTCTATAGTTTACCCTTTTCAATTTAATCTTAAAAATAAAATAAAATAAATCGAGCAACTATGTTTTGTTTTGTTTGGATGTGGGTCTATCTCAAACCTAAAAGCCCACACTGTAAGGGTACGGCCTACGAAACAAGGATTTTTAGAAACAAGAAACAGGCCTTTTATTCTCTTCATCTTTACTTTTAAAGGTTGGTCATCACTCTCATTTAATAACTAAAATTCAATTGAAAATATCAGCAATAATTTTTATTATTTTTAATTTGCATATTATAAAGATTCTTTGGAATTTTAGATAATTATTTGATTTATAAAATTCTATTGTTTTTAGATATTTTATCGTTAGAGGTAAATTTTGATACGTTTATATTTTTCTGGAAACACTAAATGTATGATTGTCGATATATGTATGATCATCAAACTAACGTTATTTTGAAGGGTAAATTACATATCTAGTAACCCAACTTTCACTTTTGTTTTTTTAGATCACTTAATTATTATTATTTTGTTTCAAAATCATATCTAATGTTATATTTTAGTTTCATTTTAGTCACTCAACATTAAAAAATCAACGACGATACTGACAAATCACCATAAGATAACGTCACATCATCATTAAAAATTTTAAAAATACCGCATCAAGAGTTCTGTTATTTTTTAATAGTAGGTGACCAAAATATAACGTTAAGAATGATTTTGAAATAAAAAAATAATTAAATGATTAAAACAGAGCAAAAATAATAGTTGATGTACTAAAATGTCTACTTTACCCAATTTTGAATGCTTGCTTGGCTGGCAGCAATTTTTATGGCAAAAGTGCCCAAAGATGTGGGAATGTTTAATTCCCAAACTAATACACTCATCCTATTAATTCTCCATTTAGTGTATTTTTGATAGTATTTTTTAAAGTTCTCAGGATATCTTGGCATCTTCAAGACTAAAATTTTGCTCCATAGATTGTTCGACGTCTTTAGTTTTGCTCCATAGGATTACCCGGCGTCTTTAGTTAAATTCTTTATGATTACTGTGCATTTTTTGGAGATTTTTCAAAAAAAAACATTTTTTTCTTAAATATTTACGTGTCAGACACCATTTGAGATAATATTTCCTTAAATATCACCCGACATCCTCTTATATTTGATTCAGAAGTTCGTTCGATCTTTCATTATAAGATAATTTTTTTAATATATAATATTTTTTATAATTATATATGATTATTTGGAAAAAAATATTATAGTAATTATTTTCAATTAATTTTTGTGGTTGTAAAATTGGAAAGCGAGAGCATACGTCGAAATATTTTTGCTGATACGGTAATAATATAAAATTATATTATTTAAATTATTTACGTTTATGTGTAAGAATGAAGCTAATTTCAGCTATTGTTTATTATGATAAAGAAATTCGGGAAGATGAAACCGGCATTGTTTTCGTATCAAATCATTATGTTAAAATATCCTTCAAGAGAAACATAACTCTTGAGGAGGTAATAATGAAGATTTCAAGAAAGATTCATGTTGGAAGTACTAGAAGAATGGCGTCGCTTCAGTACAGATTTTAACATAATGATTTAAGAAAAAATAAAATACTAAAAAAATTAAATAATACAAAGGGTGTTAGATCGAGAATATTATTTCAAAGGGTGACTGACACGTAAATATTTAAGGAAAATGTGATTTTTCGGGAAAATCTCTAAAAATGCACAGTAATTGTAAAAAAATTACGTTGGGTAATCTATGGAGTAAAATTTTAACCCTACGCCGAGATATCCTGAGAACTTTAAGAGATACTGTAAAAAATACACTAAAGGAAATTAATTGTATGAGTGTATTAGTTTGGGAATTAAACATTCCCACGTCGGACACTTTTGCCCAATTTTTATGAGCAAAGCTTTGAAACCAAATTGCCAACTTGGATTTTAATAAAGTATAATTTCATAATTTTGTCAAAGTGAAGCGTGCAGACCACACTTATAAGAATATTTTTATTAATAAAAAGAACGTGTAGGGCACGTACTTGGCTTTAACCACCTTTCACATATTAAATCACAATTTGATCATCTTCTACTTATTAAAGTAATTAACCAAATTATGATAAATAAGTAGAGAACAAGGAAGGTAAGCTTTTATATTAAATATCATCAAAATATTACTATAAATATAATCACAATCGAAATATATTCATTAAAGACTATATATGATATAATTAAATTAAAATATAATTTGAAAAAACAACATAGTACTTATAAAAAAAATATAAAAAGATCTTGTAATATGTCAGTTCTTGGCTAGTCAAGATTTTTTAACGAATTCGTATGTTTGCGGTGTTTTTAAAAAAATTATGTTCAATGTACACGTGTATATCATAACTTCTAAACCAGTTACAGAGTGTATAAATAAAATATTCAACAGATTCATATGATTTATTAAAAAAAAATTAAAACTCTAACCACCATATCTATCTAGTCTATTAATTTACAAGTAATCATAGTAATTGTATGTCCGATAACTTCGATCAAATTCACTATAAATAGTTCTTAGCCAATATAAGAGAAGAAAATTATCTTCACTTTTTTATTCTTCACTCACATATTTCACACACAAAATATCGATCAATTATCGACAAATAAATTTATTCTTATTGATAAATTTAAATAAACATGAAGTGGTTTTAACTGTTGAACAGTTTAAAAGGTTAATCTAGAATAAGCTAAAGTGTGTTGATGGGTGAACCCACTTGTTTCAACATAGACGAGAGATAGAAGATGGTTCTACAGGAAAATTATTAGCATGCCTCGACAAGAACAAGGGAGATGTTGATAACCCCAAAATATATTCTAAAATATTCTCAAATTGATTGACTTACGAAGGTGAGATGGCAATAACTAAAGAATTAAGGGTAAATTACAAATTTCATCACTAAATTTTACATCTCTCCTATTTTGTTCATTTAACTTCAAAATATTTCAATTTTATTATTGAACTTGATACATTGAGTATTTTTTTGTCACTCCTCCGTTATATAATTTTTTTGTTAAAGTAAATATAGGGCCTCATTAACTCCTCTCATACCTCAATTAAGCCGAGGTTTGGTCGAGGCAACGGAAAGGGAAAAGAGTGCCCACTAAGTCTTATTAATCAACAACCAAGCTCATCCATACAAAGAAATCCCTACTCAACCAGACATCAGCCCGATTACAATTGTAACAAAACCACCCCTGTTAAGGTACTGGGTGAAAACGCCTCATAACACTCTATTCCACATTCCTCACCAATACAAATGTCAGTGACCACCCAAGATTGATAATCCCTTAATTTTTGATAAATGATATTTTAATTCCTAGTTTATATTTTTAATTTATTTTATTATAATATCCGAATTTTAGATAATTTTATTTAGTCACTAATTATTAAATAAGAAAATAGCATATTTAATCCCTGTAATTCTGATTAATTAGGATTAGGTTTTTCAATTTAATTTCACTATATTTTAGTCATTTATTTTAAGTATTTTTTATTGCTTTTAAAATATAGTTAGAATTGTATTTTTTACTTGTTTATATATTTAAATGTTGTTATAACTATATAATAAATAAATATTTATTTTAAATAATTATTTTAATATGTAGTTTTCAATATCAAAGAACCAGGACAGTCTTAATACAACTGGATGTTCTATTCTGATATTTTAAAATTAAACAATATTATTAAATTAATATTGATCAATATCAAAGAAAAGAGTTGTCTTAAGGCACCTAGAAGTTCTTTTCTGATATTTTTAAATAAATAAATATTTTTATATAATTTTGAAATAATAGGATTATAAATTAAATATATTTTTGAATTTTTAAATTTTAATAAATAGAGACAATTTATAATTAAAAAGTACCAATTTGGGCGTTGTAGGGGGCTAATCCTTCCCTAAACGTAACCGACCACGAATCCTTTTATTATTAAAAAGAACGATTTTTGGTTAAAACGCAGATCAGTTCATTTTTTTAATTGTTTTCTTAAAACTCTTTTAAAAAAATAATTTTTAGGTATTCGACTTACCTGATCAAAAAAAAAAGTCGATGGCGACTCATAAATTATTTTCAAAATTATTTATTCACATCAA